TAAAGTCCATACCTTCGTAAACGGAAAACATAGCTTTGCACTTCTTAAAGATTCCCTCTGGAACCCAGAGGCTGGCGTGAACTTAATCAGCATCTCACAGCTTACAGCACAAGGCATGAAAGTCGAATTCTGTGCCGATTTTGCTGCAGCTTGGTCCGGGAAGGAACTTCGCATGATCGCGACACAGCGAAATGGCCTATACTTCCTAGACCAGGATCGGGATTCAAACATTATGTCTGCTGCTTGTGCAGCCTATTCCATTTCAGATCCAGCACTCCAGATCTGGCATGGCAGACTTGCACACCTCTCTGAGCAGGGGATCAAACAGCTTATGAACATGTCCACAGGGATTAAACCTATTCAGAGGTCCTGCTTATGTAAAGGTTGCGCACTTGGCCGTCTCAAACAAGTTCCACACAAGGGAAAGATTCGCAAGGGCACAAGGCCACTCGAATACATTCATGCCGACATTTCAGGACCCTTCCACATTGAAGGATACAGCAGAGAAAGATACTGGGCAGTATTCATAGACGACTTCACTCAATATGCTTGGGTATTCCCTATTAAACACCGCTCTGATTTCCTCAGCTGCTTCAAGTCTGTACTGGATACCGCAGAACGACCAGAACGCCGGTGTTATAACCTTCACATCGACAAGGCTGGAGAAAATATCTCCACTGAGGTCCAAGCTTTCTGTAAAGACCGTGGGATTGCGTTATCCGCTACAGCAACTGAGCAACACGAGCAAAACGGTATTGCTGAAAGGCTCAATGGGGTTATTCTCGAACGCCTTACAGAAGTCCTCGCAAGCATAGATGATGAAGAAGTCCCATCTAAATACTGGCCCATCCTCCTGCAATCAGTTATGTATCTTAGGAATCGGTCCCCCAGCTCAGTAATTGGAAAGACACCATACGAAGCTTGGTTTGGCCAGTCTCCTGACCTTGCCCACCTAAGAACTCCTGGAGCCAAAGGATTCGTCTGGCTAAAGAAAAGTGGTCACCGCAAGCTCGATCCTGTTTCTGAGCCCTGCCGAATGCTAGGCTATCAGGGTTCCACCAACTACATTGTGCTCACAGATTCTGGCGTTACTGTGTCTAATAATGTTGTTTTTGACGAACACCAGACCTGCCTCCACCGGACTCTGCATGCAGAGGGGGAAGCGGAAGAAGTGCCTGCAGAGACTGGGTCAGCAGCCAGTGGGAGCAGTGAGACCATTCTCGATACCATTATTGTTGCAGAACCGGAACAGCAAAAGAATCGCAGGATTAGGCACCCTTTTCCGCTCAACCCGAATATAATGCTAGCCTACTCCTTCCTCGGCGCAGCACTCTACACACAAAATCCTACCGAGCCACCATCGTACAAGCATGCCAAAGGAGATCTAGCCTGGCCAAAGTGGTTAGAAGCCATGAGGTGCGAGCACGAGTCCCTAACGGACAACATGACATGGTCGCTGGTAGCGTGTCCACCTAATAAAAAGATTCTGAGTGGAAAGTGGGTATATAAGCTGAAGAAGGGCCCCAACGGAGAGGTTCTTCGATATAAGGCTCGATGGGTTGTACGAGGCTTTGAGCAAACAGAAGGAATCGATTACAACGAGACGTTTGCGTCAGTTGTCAAGCCCATGAGCTATAAAGCAATATTTGCCATTGCCGCAGCCCTTGACCTTGAGCTGGAACAAATGGATGTGAAAACAGCCTTCCTATATGGTGATATAGACGGCGAAGTCTATATGGAACAACCGCCCGGATGTGATGACGGCACCGGGAGGGTCTGCAAACTCAACAAGGCACTATATGGGCTTAAACAAGCCCCCAGGATCTGGTACCAGACGCTTTCCACATTCCTAGAAGATCTCGGCTTCTACCCCCTAACTTCAGATGTGGGAATTTTTGTCAAGGGTAACACCTATATTGCCGTCTATGTGGACGACCTCTTGATTGCTGGACCCTTAAAGGAGGAAATCCAGGAACTCAAGAACGCCCTGGGCAATCGATTTCAAATGACAGACCTTGGCCCCTGCAGCTACTATCTAGGCATGACTGTTGCTAGAGACCGCAAGAACCGGACAATTCGGCTGAGTCAAAAGGGATACATTGAAAAGGTCCTCAAGGATTTCGGGATGTGCGAGGCCAAGCCCCAGTACACGCCTATGAA